GCGAAGCGTCCTGGCGTGCCTATAGCCCTATCAAACAATGTGTGGTTTCCACGACATGTTCTTGGAACATTTCTGGCGGAGTCGGTCTTGTTTTCTCACGTCGGGCTTATGTTCTAAGAACATCGCTTCTGTTCTTAGAACATTTTTGGGTTCGAAGAACATTTCGTGGTAGGACCACAGGAATGCCGGGAAGGTCGGTCCCTGCTCAAATCACCCTTCTCCTCGTGTCTCGCAGCAGCATTTCGCAAGAGCCAAGGCATGAGTGCCGCGGGTTCTTGTTTCCTCTCGGGAACCTCCGGGAGGCATCCGGGAGATTCGACAGACTTCCGAGGACTTCGGGGGGGCCGCGCCGCCCGTCCTGGCCCACCACGCTTTGGAGCGACACGCTGCCCACGCCCCACTCCCCGATTGTCAACGTCCCGAGCCTTTCTGGGCCTTCAGCCCGCGGAGCGGGGCGACACGCTAATTATCAGCTCGCAGGGCATTGCGTCGGACAGGGCTAGGACGAGGATCAGTTCCTTCCAGGGCGTTCTGGAACGTCTGAAGGCGTTCCGGAACGCTCTGAGAAGGTCGCGGCGCCCGAGACATCCTCCATAGCCGCCGGATCTCAGAGATTTTCGATTTATCCCCACCTTTTTTGATCCTCGCCCTGGCTTCGTCTTAGGAGGAGAAGGACGTGGAGATGGAGGGGAAGGAGGACCAGTGTAGACCCAAGATGCATCAACGATGTTGCAATGAATCCCCCTCCAGGTTCCCTCCTCAATAGCATACATGCAGGCATGAATGCATGCATACATGCATACCTACATACATGCATGCGTACACTCATTTACAGACATAGATCCATACATGCATGCATATAATCATGCATATAGATATACATACACACGTATATGCATGCATACACATACACACATACATGCACACACACACACACACCGAATGATCTGCACATCTACGTACATGCGTACCTAGTACATGCATGCGTGCATACATAGATGTGCATACATACGTATATGGGCATACACACATACATAAACACATAGTCACTTACTTACATACATACGTACATGCAGACGTGCAAACATACATACATGTACGCATGCAGACACACCTAACTATATATATATGTATACATACATGCGGGAACTGCAAGAGTGGTAGACAACGTTTTGATAATCCTCAACCGTGCCAAAAAACACGATCATGGGACTTTAGCGTCGCGGGTATAGATGATTGTCACAAGTTGTCACTCCTAGATCGTTCCAGAACATCATTCCTGGGACTCGAAGACCGCATAATCACGTGACTGATGCGTCCTGTCAATCCTACACCGTGCCATGACAACATTCCTAGCACTTCGACCTTGAAGCTGCTGTAAACTTGTCCCGACGAGTGCGCGCGGCGCGACGGCGAGAGCCACATTGTGAAAACGGTACATCCTTCATGTCTGAAAATTCTGCAAGCTTTGCAGTCGAATGTGCGTGGCGCCCATGCGATATTCACATTCTGACAACCGTCCGCCCTCCAGCCGTGAAGCAGCTGCGAGTTTTTACCACGCATGTGCGCGGCGCGGAGGCGAGAGCCACATGTTGAAATCGGTCTGCCCCCCACCCGTGGAACTGTGGCAAGTTTCAAGCAAGCTTCAAAAGTATAGATGGTGAGGAAGTCTCAGGCGAAACGCCCAGCCCGCCCTGCCGATACGTCTGGGGGTGCGGCAGGGAGGAGTCATCTGGCAGGAACAGGGATGGAGGGAGAGGGGCAGGAGGAGCAAGAGAGAGGGGGAGGGAGGAGGAGGAGGAGGACGAGGAAGAGCAGGAGAAGCAGGACGTGGACGAGGGAGGAGAAAGAGGAGGAGGGTGGGAGGGATGGAGGAGTGGGCGGGAGAGAGGACGGGCAGCGCCCAGGGAGCTTCTCCGCGGAGCTCGACCGGTCCGAGGACGCCGCGCCGCCGCCCGCCGGTCCCCGCGGACCCTCTGGGCATGGCGTAACACGTCGCGGTGCCCAGTCCTTCGGCTCCTCCTCCTCCTCCTCCTCCTCCTCCTCCTCCTCCTCCTCCTCCTCGTCCTCCTCCTCGAGGAGGAGGAGGGGCAGCAGGTAGCGGGAGGAGGAG